GTGGAAAGCTGGAGTGTGGGAGTCTTCCTGACCTCAGGCAAGTCGTTGCATAAGGTAAGGGTCACAACGGAGAAGGAATGTTGACAGACATTTGCCGAATTTGCCCATTTGCAGTTTGGCACCGGCAGAAGACCCTGCTCCAATGAACAAAGTGTTGTGGCAAAATGTAGGGGGGGAAAGGCAGTCTCAGATGTGAGAGTCAAAGAGCTTTGTATATGCTAGCTAATACCTTAAATTGAGCCCAGCAGCTGATTGGCCACATCATTTTTCTGGAGGAGTGGTTAAAGTAGTGGGTGGATAACCACCTGTTTGAGTGGCTGAGGGAAAGCGGTCTGAATTAGTGACTGGTTTATAATAGATACTAAGGGCTTGTTGAAGTGGTTGTTACTTGATTTTAGCAGCCAGGCTGGGTAAGGACCCAGAATACAAGTAGTGATTCTACACCCAGAATTACTACTTCACGGGAACTGGGAGAAAATGATCCATGAATAGACCAGGTGGTGTATTAGTCCTGTCTTCTGCTGTGCCTGTGTTACAACTGACATCCAGGTCAGAGCATATTCTTGATACTTCATCAGCAAAAAACTTGGGAAAGGTATCACAGCTAAATGTCTCTTTCTGAGACAAAAGCTCAGATTTTGGCATCAACAGTTGCTGAGCTACTTTGAACAATTGGAATGGTTATGAGCTAGTTGATGCTGTAGTAGCAGAGTAGTAACATTTCTTTGTCTCTGTCACTCCCACTTCATAGGTCTTCCAATGGTTTCTATAGCATAATCTAACCCTAACCCCCCATACAAACGGGCAGATTTCGTAACACCACCATTTCCCTCCTGAACTTCCTGGGACAGCATGGGTACCGTGTTTCCACCGGTGAATCTGCAGCCCTGGCTACATCTTTGGTCGGGGTCCCAGCCTTGGCAACCATCAATTCCGAGAACATTGATGTCCTTGCCTGCAGACTTACCCATTTAATGAAAACTTCCCAGCTGATGGGAAGTATGCTGGCAGATTTACACGATACTGAGAAGGGGACTATCCAGAACAGAATGACTATAGGTTGCCTGTTGCTCAAAGCAGGGCATCACCGCGCTGAACTTGAGGGCATGTGTTGTTTAAAACTGAGCAATCATTCAGCCTCCATCAAATGAAACATTAAGAATATCCAAGATATATGAAAAGGAATAATAGCTTCACATGAGTGGGGGGACTGGTTTGAGAGTTGGGTCACTGGTTTGGGATCCACTGTTTATACTGTCTTAACATTTATTCTTATGGGAATTTTATTATCTTTGGGATTTGTCTCTGTATACAATGCACTCCCACAATAATAGCTTGTTGTGTTTCAGCGTGCCCCAATACCCATGGTACGAGAGTCAAAAAAATTATGATGGTTGCCAAATGTTATGCTGAGTGTCCTGAGTATGCAGTCCCAGCTGACATCATTCTTGATGGTGGCAATGAGCCTTAGGGTGGTCATTTCACCAAGAGGGGGGATTTGTAGGATAGAGGATAAATGGATGTGATTTATGAGTGTGACTTCTGACACTTTTCCTATCTTGTACACCCCCACCTGTCACAGTGCCTTTTTAGGAGTCTGACCACAGTATATTCAGATCCTAGTATTTAGATCAGACAGAAGAAACTTAGAATAGAGAATATCTCTCCTTATATATAATTGAATAGTGGGTGCCAAAGTTCTAATTCTAAAATGCACTCCCTTAGTGTATGGCTGATGGCACTGCTCCTCAGCATATATCGCCACCAATCAGAAGGCAAAGCCCGGGTCCCGCCCACACCACAACTGCTGCGACAACCTGGTCTTTTGCATATGGAAGCTGATTGGACTTCAGGCCATTCCCCCCCCCAAACCCCCCCCCCCCCCCGCAAGGCAGTTGGGATTTTCAGTTGCATAACATACCTCATAGGGGAGAGGAGAATGGGTAACAATGGTTACCACTCTCCAGGTGAGGGCTACAGATAACTCAAACATACAAATGCTCTTCAGGTAGCAGAGATCAGTCCCTCTGGAGAAAACAGTGGACTCTGTCATTAAACCCTGCTGAGGTCGCCACAGGAAACTGACACTGTTTGCCCAAAGCCAGAGCACTCTCCCAGAGCCTCTTTCAAGATCCCGTTGTATTTATTTCCGCAACGGGCATTATTTCTAGTAACACATAATTCTAGTCTTAATTGAAATGTAAACTATAATGATGTCATTTGGGGTATAAGACCTACTGCTTTTCCTGGTTGTGGCAGAATACAGCTTGGTGTTGCTGGGTGCCAAGGTATCCAGTAACACCGCTATATTCTGGCCCAACCAGGAAGGGCAGTAGGTCTTGTGCATTGTTCTAGACTAGGGATGGGCCTAGACAGGCTCATGGGCCAAATTTCGTCATGGACCGTGGCCCAGTTTGTGGTCCATGAGCCCAGTCTGTGCAGTTGCTCCACTTGCGGACTGTGGGAGCGGTTTGTGAGACAAACATGCTGGCACTGAGGATTGCCAAGGCCTTCCCTTCCTTCACTGAGGCACAAATTGCCTCTCCTTCCCTTCTCCAGTTGCGCCGCAGTGGTGGCATGTTTCCACGGGTGAAGCTGAAAGCAAATTGCCTTCCCTTCATTCCTGAAAGCGTACCTCAGCAAATGAAGGGAGGGCAACCTTGTTAATAGCTGCACGGAGCTTCATGTTCCACACTCCAACTAAAGTCTCAGATGAGCATGTGTTTGTGATCCTAAAATCCCCCAGAGCATTCTGGAGTCCAGTAGGATTCATAAGCATCCATGGGTGTGGACCATTTTAACTGGGTCCCCTCTCATATGAGGTGTTGGAGCTGCATTCACTTTGGCTTTAAGTAGGTAGTGGTCAGACCATGCTGCAGGTTGAATCTCTAAACCTGAAACTAGGCCATGCATCTTGCAGTGCAATATATATATATATATATATATATATGTATATGTATATATATGTATATATATGTATATATATGTATATATATGTATATATATCCAATATTATTTATTTTATTGGACTTATAGCCTGCCCTCCCCTGCACAGCAGGGCTCAAGGCAGGGAACAACACTGTATGCAACCTCTTTTCCTGTGTTGGGGCCATCATAATTTGTTAGAGAACCATGGGCAGTCGGAGACTATAAAATCATGAGCTAGTTCTGGCAAGGTACCCTCAGCATGGGTATTGAAGTCCCCCAGAATGACCAGTCTAGGGGTTTCCAGTACCACATTTGACAATTTTCCACCTTATTTTTACTTTTCACCATCTTGATACTGTAATCATTACATCATTAAATTTCACAAGGAATTTGTTGCCTCCTGGTACTCAGGAATTTCTCCATTCTTGTGATCTCAGGATTTCCTGCAAATTGCAAAGGTTACTGTATCTACACTTGCAGTGTGTTGCTGCTGATAGAGGTCAGACATATATGTGCCTTTTAATTTCTCCTGATGTTAAGATCAGCAGCAGCCAGAGAACTATGGGAATAGTACTGTGACGAAGTGGCCAAGCTCATGTGCTTGTGCACTATTAATGCCAGGGGATGAAAGGAGAGAAGCAGCTGACATAATGTCATTTCATTTCCTTGGCTAGGGGGAAGGCAGCTCATGTAGTTCTTAACAGTAGTACACTGAAAGCTCCATCTTTTTCAGTTGGAAAACATGGTTGGGGAAAAGAACATAATGGTTGGAAGTGTACCAGTTAATATTGGAAAGTTAAGTTTAAAATTACTGTCTGTTGCAGTCACGTCTGCATTAACTGCATTTGTCCATTAATCTTAGTGGGACGTGAGTGTGTATGCACACATATGTGGGTGCATGACTGCAACCTTAAATACCTTGTTAAGCAAGGTAATTAAATGAGTTCTAGGAAGTAGGAGGGAACTGTAGAAGTACAAGTCTGATCAGTGCAAACGTTATTTTAAAATAGAGATGTTCAATACAGGGCTCAGCAAATCCCAGGAACTAGTTAGCCGTGGTGCTTAGGAATTTCATTGCTGCTGTTAATAAAATAAAATAATTGCTGAAAATATTATGATATCCAGGAATCCCTCCATATTTATTTATATACTTGAATGCTTGTGTCATATCATAGCTTGATAAAATTACAAGAAACTGAAGTGTTTAGTAATAGGTTTTGTGACAGCAATAATTTAAAACATGATTATTAAAATAAAAAATTCTGAAGAGTGAAAAATGAGTCTGGGCTGAATCTTACAGTGAAAGAATTGCAAAGAAATGTGAGAGAAATGGAAGCCATACTTAGATGCTAACTTGTGCATTGTTTAGCCTCTCATTGATGATCTCGTTCATAATATGGTGCCTATGAACTGGACGGTGTTCTCCACCATATGGCTTTTTCATTTAGTAGTGGTAGCCAAATCACCTGTGGGTGCATGTAGGGTCCTTGGGTATTGACATTTTTTTGAAGATTTTTTAATTTCATAGACATAAGCAAACATACAAACAAACAACATATATAGGGGGTTACAATCATGTGATTTTACTTTTTCAGTTTCTTTGACCTCATAAAAGTCTTATATTTTTCATCTTATATGTTCATTATATACCTTATAAACCTTTTATTAATAGTTGAAACTATATTTCATGTCTGTTTATTTAGGTTAGAAATCCAGAAGTTTATATTTTATTTTCTTCTAAATATTGATAGAATCTTGACCATGTGTTCTGAAATTCTTCTTTGCTCTTTCCTCCTAATATCATAGTCAGTTTGTCGATCTCAGCAGTTTCCAGTATTTTAACAATAACTTCTTCTTTTGTAGGGATTTCATTCCTTCTCCAATATTTCACATAAATCATCCTTGCTGCTGTTACAATATGGATAGTAATGTGAAAATTTTGTCTTTTATAGTTCTCTGGAGTTATATTTAACAAAAAAAAGTTCTGGTATTGACATTATTTTTAATAAGCGATGATAAATTGGCATAACTTGGGCATCTGAAATACTGAAAATGTTTGCTCTTCATTTTAGGCATCTTTTCTAACAAAGAAACTAAATATTGGAGGAAAAAGAGTCAACCTTGCAATATGGGTATGTACTTCTATCTTCTCTAAAACTCAAATTACCATAGCAAAGTATCAAGGCATTCTGAGATACTGGATTTTGTTTTCAATAACATTAACATAAATTTCTTTGCTAAATGCAGGATACAGCAGGTCAAGAAAGGTTTCATGCACTTGGTCCCATTTACTACAGAGACTCTAATGGAGCAATTTTAGTATATGATATAACAGATGAAGACTCCTTTCAGAAGGTAACTAATTAATGTACAGAAACAAATTCAAAGCTTCTTTGGGATAATGTTTTAATAGACAAGATAAGAAGCTGGGACAAACTGAGTTCTTTGCGCTAATATTTGGTATTTTAACCAGTTGTATTCAGTTGTAACACAAAAGTTTGTTGAGTTCGTTGTAGGACTTGAAATAAAATAACTAACGTTTCTTCTGTACAGGTAAAAAACTGGGTCAAGGAATTAAGAAAAATGTTGGGAAATGAAATTTGTCTATGCATAGTTGGTAAGTTCTGAACTGTTACATGTTATTGCACAGCTGGAGAATCTTGTTCAAAATACAGGCTGTTTAATGTACAGTTGCTGAGCAACTTCTAACAGTAGCTTCTAAAGTCTTCATAAATTGGTTTTGCTCACTGTTAGTACAGGCAAAAGATACTCTTGACCTTTGAACTGGTGAAGAATAGAAATTAAAAAAGGTTATAGCATTGATAATATGAAATGACATTTTAGAGATTAGCTAAATGCTTAATTGAGCAGATGACATTGCTAAATATTGTGTTAGCTTAATAAGATTCCCAGTCAGATACTTGCTGCTGAAGAAACAGTAGTAAACTTGGGAGTAGGTTGTAATCTATTTCATGTTGCTAATTTAGAAAGTATTCATAAGGTAGGATTATATTACCCATCTTATTGTCTCTTGCAAAGTACTTCAGGATCTCTTTAAAATTAAGCCTTGTTATGTCTCAACTGTGCTATGGTAACCACAGCTTCCTGAGCAATTGCAAGAGTGTATACACTGGAGTGATGATGTGGCAAGAACTGGGAAGGTTTAGAGTATGCATGTAGATGTTTATCCAGTCTCCACTCTTTTCACTAATAGTACAAGGGACTAACTATTCATTCAGCACCTTTGTTAGTGATCTTGGAGTTTGGGGTAGCTATGTTGAACTATGGTGTATTGCAAGTGGTTGGGGAGGGAAGAGCTAAATTCACCAAGGCATGGAAAGGGGAAAAGGGTAAGAGTGTACAACTAGTTGGAAATCCCTTGTAGATTTTGCATAGATGATGCATTTCCTAATATATTGGACACTAAGGAGGTTTGAATTCCCAACAGGTAACAAAATAGATTTGGACAAAGAAAGACATGTCTCTATTCAAGAAGCAGAAACGTAAGTTTGTTTCTTTTTTTCAGTAACATTTTGAAGTCCTTAGGACTCAAATGCATCTCTAGCAGGTTCTTGAGAAATTTCAGTCATAGTCTGTAGGGGAAATTATTCAGCTCTTTCATTATTCACATGGGTGCCTTGTGGCTCTCTAACTTCTTTGTGTGTTTTCTCTTGTTATTTATTTATTATTCAGATTTATATCCCGCCCTCCCCAGTGGGCTCAGGGCGGCTAACAATAAGGGCACAAAGCCATAATAAAACAGTTAAAAGCAGAATAAAACAATACAAAATTACAATAAAGTGCTGGTGCTCTGAAAGATCATAGTTCCAAGATGGGTTCTGGAAGATGGACCCAGAACAAAATTCTATGCTGGTTAAGTACAAGTGTGGAAAACTACTTTTAGCTTTCTAGCCCATGGTTATTTAAGTTGGCTTCAAGCATACCACAAGTTAGTATTATACATAATGGGTATGCTAGATGCAGGAGAAATACCAAATGCTATATCTAGGTAGCAAATGACACTCAGTGTATGAATATTTCTCTTACCGTTGCATTACCTTATTTACAGATATGCAGAATCAGTGGGAGCAAAACACTATCACACGTCTGCGAAACAGAACAAAGGAATAGAAGAACTCTTTCTTGACCTCTGTAAAAGTAAGTTTGTGCTGTGTTTATGGATAGCTATCCACCTTAAATGTATTTAAACTAAGCTACTTGGAGATCTTGAACATAAGAGAAGCTATGTTGGATCAGGCCAGTGGCTCATCCAGTTCAACACTCTGTGCCACACAGTGGCCAAAACCTAGGTGCCATCAGGAAGTCACCAGCGGGGCCAGAACTCCAGAAGCCCTCCTGCTGTTGCCCCCCAAGCACCAAGAATATAGAGCATCACTGCCCCAGACAAGGTGTTCCATCTATACCATGTAGCTAATAGCCACTAATGGATCTCTGCTTCATATGTTTTGATGCTCCAGACCAAATTAAAAACCTTCCGGTAGCCTTTGCCATCTCTAATTCAGTGGACACCAAGCAGCACATAGTTCCCTGGTCAGGATCCATTCCCCCTTCCCCTTTTTCACTAGTGCTGGCTGCAGCCATGGCTGGGAGCTGCTGACCCTTGCCTGACTGCAGGTGGGACAGGCTAAAGTTAGGACCAATCCTATGCTGCAAAATGAGGGCCGGCCACCCTTCTGTCCGTGGCCAGAATGGTTTTTGTCCTTAACTTACCTTGAGTAGAGTTCATTCTGCAGTCATGTGGTATTTTATAAAAGCAGACGAAATGAAAAACGGTTTTAAACAGGGCTATACAGCTTATCTTCTGTTCTGTAATCTTTCAGTCTGAGAGATATCTCATCCTATAGATTGCATGGATTTACACTGTGTACTCTGCCTTGAATGAGAAAGGTGGACTACAGATATTGTAAGTGAATCCCTGGCACTGGCAGGGAACAGCTGTGAAAGCTTCAGGGTCATTTGCATGATCAAGATGCTGACAGAAATTGTGGCATTATTTACTATATTTTCCTGAATCATCTGAGTTAGTGATTTGTGCAGTAGAATTTGTATTCCCAAGAGGTGCTAGGCTACATGTGTTACCTTGCATGAATAAAAGGGAAACCAGATGCATCTTAATGACTTAATTACTTACTGACAAAACTGCTCTTGTCACTGTCTCTGAACTTACAAGGTAAAACATGGGCAGTCTTAGCTGTTGAATGTTACAGAAAGAATATAATGGAAAGTTAAAATGGTTTTATGTTCGTGAACATTAATATGTAAATGCTTCTATCATTCATTTTGAAAAGTGTCTAAAGCATCTTCTGAATATTCTGCGAAATGTGTTTAAGTCAGGTTTGACAGATTATATTGTAAATCTGGCTACAAAATATCACAGATCTTAATGCAGCTTCCAACCTCTTTACTTTCTAGGAATGATAGAAACTGCACAGGTTGATGAGAGAGCACGAGGCAACGGATCCAGTCAGTCAGGACCTACAAGGCGGGGAGTACAGATCATTGATGATGAGCCACCAGTTCAGAGCAGTGGAGGATGCTGCTCATCTGGATAATTGTATAAGACTGTGCATCATGCCCCCTAGTGAAGACTGCCATACTCAAAGTCTCATTCTTTATCGGTGGAGAATCAGAATTAACAGTATTTAAAATCATTTGTAACAATTCAGAAAACCATTAAGTGCTAAACTAGTGGAGTATGTGACCAGAAAATTGGCGTTTTCTACAGTGGTTAACAAAACAAACCAATGGCCTTTTTACATGTTTCTTTAATAATGAATAATACTGCATGTGGGAGAGACTTAAGGCTTCATTTATATTTTAAATGAGATCATTATTTAATAACTTATGTACACTATTGGAATGAGACATTTTTGCAGCCCTTTGTATTTTGTGGTAGATTGAACTGTATCATTTCAAAATTGCAAATTCTTTTTAATTAGCAGATACCCACGTACTATTTTTGCAGGGTTGGCATCAACCTATAACTGTCTGACTACTTTGATATACTCATCCTGTACTCCATGCTGGTAAAATAAATTGTAAATTACATATTAAATATTTTATCTGCTTTTACAAGTGCAGGTGCAGAAATATGTACATTAGTCTTGTTGGTGATTGTGAAGTGAATAACAGTTGGTGAAAAGATACAAATTTTATTGTCTACCAGCTCATCCCCCCCCCCCATTAGATTCCATAATCATACTCTCTGCTTGCTCTGAAGTTAGCATACCTTTTTGAAACTCTTCTGGCAATTATTGGTCCATATAACACTTAGGCTAATCCCCACTCCCAAAAGTGGTAATTGGAATGCTGTGAATTGCTGCTACACTTGTTTCTATTAGCAGAAATTTGATGTGCTTGAATTTTTCAACTTCTCCAGTTTTCTACATTGCAAAGAAACCTTATCTTATGAACTTGGCTTCCTCCATCTGATAATCACTGAACAAGAACTGTTCTTGTATCTTGTTCCTCCAAAATGTATTCACTCTTCTCCTGTACAAAGCTGGAATGAAGTGAAAATAACTTTGCTGCAGTTCATTTTATTGATCACTGAAACTGATAGAAACTTATGTGTTCCATGTAAGCCTTGTTTAAATCCACTTTGCATTTTTCAGTAGGAAATATTTCAGCTGCCACCACCAACTGCATAGTAAATATTTTCCAAAAGGAGAAAATGTGAAAACTGAACCAGGCATTGTCAGGACTAGAACAGTCAAGCTAATCACTATTTACATAATGGAACACACCAACTTTCTGAGGGAAATACCAGTTTAGGTGGGGTGTTCGGTTCCCCCCCCCCATTTTTGGTAAATGGATATATTTATGATGTGGAAAATATCTAGTAATAGTTTAGTCTTTGGCAAGGTGAGCATGTAAATCATTCTAACCTCACGTGTGCAGGTTTTAATTTCTTATCACTGGTCCAGAGATGAATGTACACAGTTCAAACACCAAAATAGTGGGAATATGTCACTAATCATCTAACTTCACTTTCCCAAACCTGACACAAACTTTAAGAGCAATAGTTTTAGAAAACACTGCATGCTTTCATTGTCCTGAATAAGCTGATTTATGAAGATCTGCTAAGATATATAAGGGGAAGGAGCTATCTGTTGCACATGACCATAATCTGGATAATTTAGTATGTACATTGTACTCTGTACCCTAACGCTTACTGGAATTGTAAGTTAGATGATCTGTTAAAAGTACATATGTCTAAATAGCTTGCTGCTGTGACTTTACCATGTGCTGCTTATTGTAAGCTGCTCTATCTTCATTAAATATTCACATTTAGTACCTCTTACTTACAAATACTTTTCTGTAGTGAATGCTGTCTAGCATGGTAAAGCTATGAATGAACATATGTTCAGACAGAGGGAGCTGCGTCAGACTGTTAGAAGGAAACTTTTCTGCCACTTGTGTTAATATTTGACACAGAATGGAAATGGACCATAAAGTGGGACAATCAAAATGAGATCTGAGGGCCAAGGCTTTGTGGTCTGTCCTGCATATGTTCCAAATGTGAAACTTTCAGTATTCCTTCCGAACAGCTGTCATGTCCTTTTCTTCCCTTGCATCCTTTCAAAGTCTTTTCCTTACCTTTGACTGTAGATAAAGCTCTAGTCACTTCTATATTCTTCCTAGCACCAACAGCTCTGGTATTTCTAGTTTTTAGTTTCAACATAAACCTCAAAACAAAAACACAAAAGGATTATTGTTAACATTATTAATGTTCAACAACCTCGAGAGGAATGGGTGGCTGTTAAACAGTTGGGCAACATCCTCTTGGCCACTCTAAGATGGTAGGTAGCTGGGTACCCCTGCAGTGTTAATGTTTGAAGGGAAAGAGGAAGATATAACTGGAAAAGTAGTGTGCAGTGTAGATATTGGCAAACTTTTCTCAATGAACCTTGGAGGGATGTTTTGGAATTTTTATGTTGTTGCAAAGGTGTGGCGTTATTACTGAAGACCTTTGCAGTGAGTGCAAGTCTCTGTTTCTGTACAGGGTTTACTGAAATGAATGACAGTTGTGTAGGCTGTAATCAGTTGTAAAAAGAATGACAGTATAATACCTCCATATATATGGTAATTTCTGGTTTCTTAATGTTAAGCATCTAAACATACTTCCTAGAAGATATACAAGTTAACTGCAGTTTTATAATGTAACTTACACCCAAATAACAGTTGTACCCAAAGGAGTTGGTGTGACTTTCATATATGCAATAGAATGAAGTTTTAATCCAGTGGCACCTTTAAGACGAACAAAGTTTAATTCTGGGTATAAGCTTTTGGGTGCATGAAGAAGTGTGCATGCGCATGAATGCTTATACCCAGAATTAAACTTTGTTCATCTTAAAGGTGCCACTGGACTCAAGGATTGTTTGGTTGCTTCAGACCAACATGGCTACCCACCTGAATCTGTTTTCATATATGCAGTTAGAACAACCTTGACATAGGAGGAGATATGACAAGGATGGTAGTATAAAATGCTTCTCTAACTGCTAAAAGTCCTAAATTTTGGGGAAACTGGATGTCTTCATCATTTAAAAATTAATTTGCATGATTGGCTGCAGGACATTTTATGAAAGATATTTTAAGTTGTTACTATGGACTATAGTGTATGGACCTGCCAATGCTTATTTGGTATCTGGCAAACATTAAAACAAAATATTTTGAAAAACCAAGTTAACTAGTTGGTATAATGGCTGTTTTTTCAAGTTAAATCTCTTTTCAGCAGGTTCCAATGCCATCAGGGAATTGAGAATGCTTCATTGAATATTCCAGCCATTCTGCAATACCACTTATATTCCTTTTCAGGCTTTTTCTTCCATGCTAGAATTTTTTCACCTTAATATTCAGTGTATGTAAGCTTTTTAAAATTAAAACTAGAGTCTAAAGTCTTCACAGCAAAGCCAGGTCTAAAGAAGTATGAAAGTTCTATGAGTTCCAGGGGACTTTAGACTTCTTTAAACAGCAGCTCCCCCTACCACATGACAAATTAACACTAATACTGAAAAGTTTTCTCTGTTGATTTGATGTCGCATGGAAGTCAGCTGTTCCATTAAAAAATCCATAAGCAGAATTGAACACAGGCTTCCTCCCATGAGCCATAGTAGATCTGTCATATTACTTAGCCCAGGCTAGCCCGATCTGGTCAGATCTCAGAAGCTAAGCAGGGTTAGTATTTGAATGGGATATGTGACCAAGGAAGCCTAGGATTCCCATGAAGAGGCAGACACTTCTCAACATCTCTTGCCTATGCAGTTGCTGTAAGTTGACTCTGAATTGATAGCAAAAAAATATTTGAATAAGTTTTTCAAAGTTGCTATTTTCCCCTGTAATGTGCCCCCCCGCCCCCCAAACCCTTGTAAACTTACACTTCTAGTTTGGCCAATTGTATAATTGGGTAGCATAGCTGTACTTTTGCTTTGAACTTAATGACTTTTTAGCAGCCTTAGATTCCGCAAATTGGTTAAAGACAAGGAGAAGAGTTACTTTGGAATTCTTTTTGTGCAATACTCACGTAAGAATGTTTAGATTATAATTTAATTTATCACTCTATATCCAATACAGCTACTGAAATATTGGCTATGGAGGTGGTTTAATCTAAGGCATATGTTTCTATGAAGTCCGGTGTGGCTTTCTGCTAGCTGTGTATTACTCTGGCTTTTCAAGCTCTTTTACAATATTTCTTATGATGAAATTGGGTTTCAGCTACATCCCCTGTGTAACCTATGGGTTCAGAACGTCACATATTAGCACTAATTTAAACAGGGACAAGAGTCATACCTCCTACATAAACTGAGGAGCCAATGAAGAGCAACTCATTGCAACTGAAGAAATTGGCTCTAGCTCACAAAAGCTAATGCTGGAATAAGGTGGTGGTGGGGTCTGGAGAGCTCCAGGTGGCAGAGACCAATTGCCCCAGAGAAAATGGCCACTTTTGGAGAATGGACTGTGGCGTTATACCAGACTGAGGGCCTTGTCTTTCCCCCGGCCCCACCCCTGGAACGTCCAAAAATTTCCCAGCCTGGAGTTGGCAACCCTACAAAGTCTGGTTTATTTTTCCTAGACTAACACAGCTATTTCTAGGGAGCCAGTGTAGTGTAGTAGTTAAAGTGTAGTATCTGGGAAAATAAGGTTTTGAATCCCCACTCTGCCAGGGAAGCATGGAGGGTAACCTCGGGCCACTCACACACTTGCAACCTAAGCTACCTGACAGGGTTGTTTTATTGAAAAAATGGAGGCGAGAACAATGATGTTTTGGGTTTGGAGTTTCCACTGAGGAGAAAGGTCGGCTATAAACAATGAATTGAATACTGAACTTCTATGGAAGGAAAGGCGAAGGTAGTTAGGCTAAGCGAACTGTGAACCTACCGCCTGCAGTGGAATATTCTACCATCTCGTTTTGTTGCTGTCAGACTGAGGTGTAAGTTGGTTGGATAAACGTCAGCATAAGTGTGTGACACCAGCGTCTCGGAACGACGAAAGTCCAGGACCAACAGATGGAGCCCTATGGATTGACATATAATGGCCCCGCCCTTTAAATATCGAAGTTCCATTTCCTGCAGCCAAACAGACAGAAATCCTGGCGTTTCATAGCACCAATATCCTTGACACTTCCGGTCTAAAGCTGGAATGATGTTTCTCCTTTACCGCTACAAAGCTTGCACCTTGTTGTTTGTCTTTGTCCTAATAAAAAATATTATATGGGGGGGTGTTATTTGGATTGTGGGGGTTTACTATCGGACTAACGGCTATAAGCAACTTCTCCTATTTCAGCCTCCCATATTTCACCATAGAGATGCTGCGGAACAGAAGGACACTGGCGATCCATGGCGGCGTTCAATTTTTAACGGAAGTTCATAGCGCTTCCTAGGCGCCACTCTTTTCCTTTTATGGTGCTACCGCGCAGAATCCCTCTCTCCTGCCTTCTCGTCCACGCCTCTTTTTTTTTTTTTAAAGGACGCATGCGTTGACCGCCTAGGCCCTGCTGGTGGGGGTGGGGTGGAGTTGTTGTGAAGCAGCGGGAGCACGTGAAGAGAGCAACGTCATCATAAACACTAGTAGCCAACATGGCGGGTCCTGCGAGCGGAAAGGTAACCGGAGGGAGAAATAGAGTTTTGGGTTCGCGGCTGGGGAAGGAAAGAGAGCTGGGTGCCCTGAGGTCTCTCCCCGTCGCTGTCTCTGGGCACTTTGTGGGTGGGGGCGCTGGAGTTGCCACATGACTCAGGCTTCCTGACTGAGGCCAAAAGGTCTTGGGCCCCTCAGGCGTGTCAATGGGTCGGCGCCGCTGCCCTGACTTAGGGTGCAATGGGTTGCTGCTTCACCTGGCGGAATAAGAGGTAGGAGGCCCCCTCCCGGTGCCGGTACCTGACACGCGGTACTGTCTACAGAGCTTTGGGTAAAACGAGGAAAGACTTTGCATGGATTACCGGGACGCTGGTTAAAGGGCTGTGAGGGTTGGGTGTCTTTTCTCATGAGAGATCATGAGGGTGCGCAAACAAGTATTGTGGCAAAGTTTGTAAGGTGTTCCCAGTTGGCATCTTATGTGTCCACCCATAATAAACCCATTTAGGGAGAGGGCAAAAGTGTACGTTCAAGAAGCCATGTGATATAAAAGGTACGGTCTGTGTCACTTATAAGGAGCTTTGGTTGCATGTGCTTTAAACACAGTGATAATTTAGCTCAGTGGTCTTTTAGGGTTTACAAAGTATACAGATCCCCCTTCCCCCAAAGTAACAAATCAAGACATACTGGTAAAGGGTGTTTTTATTTTGTTTAATTGGAGATTAATAAAGTCAATCTATTCTTTGTTACAAATGAAATACAGCAAATGGACTTGGGAGCTAAGAATTTCAATGGATGCTCTTGTCAAATAGATGAGAGGGATTTCTGATGGACTTGCCAGTGCCAGAATACAGTACAGGATATCAGGATTTTACAGGGAGATTTCCATTTCATTGGGTAGATACCTTCACATAGTTGTTGCACCAAGAATATATATTTGCTGGACCTGTTTGTCAGAATGGTGGGTTGAATGTTGAGATAATAAGCACAAATTCTTATCTCAGTCACGATAGGTGTCGAATTTGCTCAGTGGCTGTGAAATATACAGATTGTGGAAATTAAGGTCTTTCATCTTAATATGTTTTATTATTAGGGTTAATAAGATACAAAACTGAAGCACACTGAAAAGCACCAGTCTTTTTGTAGCTTGTGATTTCAGACATATGTTATTCTACTTGGCTGTTGATTTGCTGAATGCAATTGTATGCAGAGTTTGGTGTGCTTAAGCCAATTGTTTTTAGTCATGCCCAAAGATGTGCTATATGTTAACCAGAATTCTTTAGGGAGTGGGCAGTGCATAGCTGGAACTCATGTCTGCTTAACTTCCAGGTAGGCTTAAAGATCTTGGCCTGATTTTCTAACATTAAAGACAAAAAACTCCGCTTGGGCCAGTTAGTATTGAATTGTAGATCAGGTATACTAATTGTAGAAATCTTTTAAAGCATGTGTAGTCTAAATACAGTAGTTGCAGCACAGTAACTACATGTAAGGTGTGCAGGTTATACTCAGAAATCATTAACAAAATGCAGTGTGTTTGTGATAACGAGCCTGAAATCAGACTTGTGTGTTTCCTCTCCCCTCACTCTTCCCCTTGTATGTTAAGCAGAGATTGGAGACTTATTTGAGCACTTTAGCAAATTTGTGTTTGTTTCTTGGCCACAAAATCAGGAAGCCTTTCTAGTGTAGAATCCCAAGCTGTGAGCAAGAACTAAGACACGGTTTGTTAAACTGCCCCAAGTTGAATGCAA